GGTCCTATATACTATATATATAAAAATCATTATATATCTAATGTGAAATTTTTCCACTGTTTATCCTCCTTATATATTGTCCCCCGTTATATATGTAGGTATGTTTATATATTATATACCATACTATTATTTTTTATTATCTATCTGTTTATTTTCCCACTATATATCCCTGTTATTTCCTCCATATCATTTTATTCATTTTCTTTTTATTTATTTTTTTTTATTTATTTATTATATCCCCGGCCAAATTTCCGTTTTTATTCCATAAAATATATATATATATATAACTCATAATATAATATATGTTAACGTTTATGATTTATATAAATATATATGTGAAATAAAATATATAATAATAATATAAAATTAGGTACTATATTTGAAATTTCGATGTAATAAAAAAATAATATAAATGTAATAATGTATGAATAAATATAATACACTATATTATTAGGTTTTATTATAATAATCGTTTATTGTATTTATATATATGTATGGATGATTATGTATATAATATATAATAATATATAATGTATATTATGATATATATATTATATATATATTATACTATAAATATATTATTGTAATATATATTCTATATATTTTATTTTTCAAAGGGTTACAATATATATTATTAAATATGGCGATTTTATGGTAGCTTTATATTATATGTATATATATATATTTAGTTATATAAATTAAAGTAAGGGGGAACCCCAAATCACATTAATCTAATACTAGTTTTGTGAGTATACTGTTCAACGCTCCCACTATTTTATTACTAACAAGTTTTTGTTCCTTATATTTTGCAAAATATAATATTAATAAAATAAAGATAAGATTGTATACACACAAAAAAATAAAATATATCTTTTAATATATAATATATTAGTATATATTCTATACTCACCCCCCCCTACCAGCCCCTCCAATAATATGGGCCCCCTATAATACCGTTGTCCCCTCCCCCCCCCAAAAACTTTTATTTTTATTATACTATTTTATTAATATATGATATATATTTTACTTGTGGGATATAACCTTAGGGTCCATATATATAAGTTATCATATGATAGTATGTGTGTGGTGTGGAAATAAAGATGCAAAGTGATAGTTTGTGTAAGAATAATGAAATTGATGATTTGTCCCCGATTTGTTATGATGAGAAGGTGAGAAGGTTTTTGTTGTTTTGTGCGTGGGGGTGTGGTTGGGGGGTGGAAAAGAATGTGATGGTGTGTGTGTTGTGTTGTGTGAGTCTAAAGAGTGATAATGAAATATTGTGTGTTGTGTGTAAAGGTGAATATGTGGTGTGTATGCATGAAAATATCGTTTATGCAAACATCATCAAATTGTACGGACACAATTTATATAGATTGTAAAAAATGTTTTATAATATTGGGAATTTAAAATTTTGTATGGTAAATGAATTTATAATATATTAACTTAAAAACAAATAACTATTAATATACTTTCGACACCGCAAAAAAAAATTGTGATGCCAAATAAAGCGACTTCCTTTGTAAGATTATTGGAGAAAAGATTGTATTTAATGCAATTTTGCGAGGGATTAAGCCATTACGAGTTCTCTAGCAATTTTGAAATTTATAGCATGATTCAAAACACCTACTCTAAAAACTTCCCGTAACGCCATTATTAAGAAACAAAAAATATATATTCAGCTATTATCTATTTGGAAATAACATATCTATACATCAATAATGTGAGATGTTAAATACTTTAGATATTTTGATTTATTTCTAATATAAAAATAATAACACAACCCTTGTTATGTTATCTGTTTCCACTAACACAGTTATCCGTTCTAACTGTGTCTCCTATCGAGTTTATGAGCAGATCATATGGCTTTTCAATTTTCCATTTTTATTGAACTTTACTTTCGGCACTGTGTTCTGGTTCAAGCATTTTCGTGAATACAAGCTAAATTCTTCGAAAAATATCCAATCTTTATTCCTATCGAGATGTTATGTCTGACCTAATTTTTGTAAGTTCAAAAATGGGTATTGATTTGAAAGTATTTATATGTGTGAACATTATGCACCTTGTCACTGACACTCGAACCCAAAAGAAACGAGAATGAAAAATTCAAAATAAATCTATCTGTTACTGAAGAAAAAGATGAATTTGAACACTGGTATTCATTCGAGTAATATCATTAGTGCAATTTTGTGTTATGAACTCAACCTGACTAAGTCCGTCTGCAGAATCAACATAATGCATTTGTAATTCTCCTCATTTCAGTTTTTAATTCCACGTTTTCCCAGGATATTTTCAAGAACATGAGGCAGCCGAAAAGAGGACGAAACACGTCATTATTCTCATTTTTTTTATCTTTCCGAATGGGGGTATTGGGATACCGAAGAGAGTCGGGAGCTGGGAGGAGTGCGGATAACTTTAAGGGGTTACACGGTCGGCTGCTTCTTTAGGAAAAGTAATGAAGGAGAAGTGTTTTGTCTCCCTCATGCACCGCGGGTTCTATCTC